TGATTCCGGCCACTCTGCTTGTCGTAAATAAAAAAACGTGAGAGTTCCGTTAATTAGTATGAGTTTGGCTATAGCAGGTACCAGAACAAAAGAAAAAAGTCGACAATTAAAAAAGTGGCGATACTTTGAAGTTCGATTATCGATTTTTGCTACACGTTTTTGTTAAACTTTGGATGCCTAAAAAAATATAAAAAATAATATTTTTTGGTTGATTCTGGTAGGGGCTGTAGTCACACGTGTACTAAATGCGTGCTTAAAAAATTTTGAGTCAATTGGTCAAGTAGATTTCGAGATCTCATGGACACCGTTCTGAAAAGCATAGTTTCCAGAAAAATGCCTTTAAAATTTAGTATTGCGGTAACAGTGACGCTGGTCATCGCGTCCTTTAAACAACCATAACTTTGTTAATTTTAGGAGTTCATACGTATGGTTACAGAGATGTATTTTTGAAACTATGTTCTTTAAGAATATGCAAAAAAAAAAAAAAAATCGATTCTTTCAAAAGTTCACACTAGAATACCCGTTTAAGCGTCCGTAGTCGGGGTCCGACGGACGGTTTGGGTTAGGTTTGAGGAAGTGGGGAGGCGAATTGACCCCGAAGAAAAGAGAGGGGGAATGAGTGTCAGCTGTTATCAAGCACATCGGTGTCGAGTATATTATCATATGCTCGTTTTGTGCGTGTAAGTGCCACGTTTCACACGACCGCGTGGCAAAGTTACGTAGAGTGGAGATAGTTGCAGACGCTTAAGCGCCTAAGCGAGATACGTGCGTAACTGTATCAAAGGCAGTACTCGTACTAATTTCTTATAGCTCAAATGGGATCTTACACTCTCACTCTTGGAAATCCTGTCTCACACGATTTCGTACATATACAGGGAATGGCAAGTGCACGTCGACGCTGAAGCACTGGCTTTTGCTAGCCACGTATTCGCTACATGTCACACGTAAATGATACGTAGGCATGTGTGTACGTAGTATGGATACTTGTGTGTATGACAAGATAAGAAATAGGCGGCAGGCCGAGAGAGAGAGAGAGAGAGAGAGAGAGAGAGAGAGAGAGAGAGAACGAAACAGAAAACGAAAAGCCTAAAAAAGACTGTAGCGAGTAGCGAGTGGCCAAGTGAGGGACGCCTAGAGACAGCAATAAACCCTTGGTTTACACTCGAAGGGTCGCTGAGAACAAGATTCAAAAAAGAGGAACGAGAACGGGGAATGGAAACGGGAATAGGAACGATAAAGGGAACGGTCGGGATGGGAAGGGAAGGGAAGAGAAGGATTGGGAAGGGAAGGGAAGGGAAAGGGCAGAGGAAAGGTTTGGGGGAGGAGGAGGAGGAGGAGGAGGAGGAAGAGGTGGAGTGGCGTTGCTGGTGGCGCAGTCGGTTGGCCGATCTCGTGGCGAGCGATAGCCGAGCAACTCGGCCGAGGCGCTCGGTTCGCGTCGCGTCGCTTCGACGAAAGCAAGGACGCGTCGCTACGCTTGGCTATTGTAAGCAAGATCACAGAGGAGAGAGCACAGCATGCGTTAGTTACGCGCGCGTACGATGTCGGGCGATATCGCTCGATTCGAGAACGAGCCGGCCGCCTCCGACCCGCTAGTGTCGGACGCCGTTTCCACGTTGCAAGGTAACCTCTCTCTCTCTCTCTCTCTCTCTCTCTCTCTCTCTCTCTCTCTCTCTCTCTCTCTCTCTCTCTTTCTCTCTCTCTCTCTCNCTCTCTCTCTCTCTCTCTCTCTCTCTCTCTCTCTCTCTCTCTCTCTCTCTCTCTCTCTCTCTCTTTCTCTCTCTCTATCTATCTATCTATTTTCCCTACGTTGCTTGCTTCCGTCATTTTTTTCTGTCTCTCGTTTTCTTTCCTCGTTCCTTGTCGATTCTGTTTTCGTACTTGTGATAGTTGGTTTGTTGATTCGAGATAATTTGGTAGAATGTTTGTTGAATGTTCGAGAGTAACGTTCGTGGATATACCCGAGTCTGGATTGGAGCCGGACGAGTATAAGCATGTGTATAGTACAGCAGCAGAATTTCTTTCGGAAAATGGAAGTATATAAAAGGATGTTTTCCATAGATACGCGTTGTACGTTATCGTTTGATTTGCATGTTCGAGAGAAAGTTGGTGGCCGGATTGTTGTCGATCTCGTGCAAATTTTTCAAACGGGAGAGGAATTTTTTCGTAACTTTGAAAAACGTAATTTCGTTACTTTTCGAAACATCCTTGGCACTTTTGGAGCACCCGTGCATCTATATTTTTCTGTTTGAAAAACCAACAGATACGTAAAAGCTGTGCGTTGTTTTTGTATCGTCGATACAAAACAACTCGAACGATGACAACTATCTGTACCTTTAGTAATATAATTTCCTTCTGTCAGTGGAGAAAACGTGCAAAATTTTTGAAATTGGCGTATTTCCTGTCGCGTTGTTTTCGCGTTGTATTTTACCGAGACTATACACACGTATCACAGATAATGCACAATATCTTTTGTTTTATATGCTCGATAAACTGTCCGCTGTCTTTGAATAGAAAACGTGTCGTGTAAATGTGCCAAGGCACGGATTGCCGCATAACGCGAATTGCGGCTTGTGTAATAATACGTAACGAAATACGGGGGTGCGTGTTGTCGTCGGGGAATTTTAGAATTTTACAACGAGGAACGGAAGGAGACGACATTTGAAATTTCACGTGCACCTGAGTGTTCGCACAACCTTTTGTGTTTGCACAATCTTTTATTTGCTTTCCCTTTGCCGTTCTATTTTTTACGACCTTGGCAAACCGTCGGTAATTTCAGAAATTGAATTTCCTTCAACTTTAATATTTCAGAGACAATCGTCATAAAATATTTTTCCCCAACAGCTGCACGAGCAATTAGGTGCGCGAGTGAAATTTTGAAACGCAATCTAGCTCTCCCTTTCGTTTGGTAACACCATGCCTGAGCCGAGCCATTTTGATGATAAACCGATTAATATTTCACAAACACTGACGTTTTAGTGTTATATTAAACTGATTTATACGTAAATTAGCTTCGAAATGATAAAGCTTATTAGAGAAGAATAGTGTAAACACGTGAAACGATAAAGTTCGTCTACTATGTGTTTTGCTGCAAAGTGCAAAAATATTCTTGCTCTTGTCAGATGTTGGAACAATTTTTGTAAAAATATATTAGAAATATATATATATATATATATATATACACATATATATGCGTGCACATAGATACATACTTGTGTATGTTTGTCAGATTGTCTGATTAGAAAATACATGTATACTATACGTGTCAGATTATTTGCAAAAAAAAAAAAAAAAAAACCCGTACAGAAATGCAAAGAAAAATATAAATTTAGAATCTATCTTTGAATTTAGATTAAATTTCACGTGATACTTTTCAATCTTCTCTCTCTCTTCTTGATTAAGAAATAATTATCAGAGCGAAACTAGAAGAAACCTAATAGCAACGTTAATGAACAGTTTACTACGAACGAAATGTGACCCTAAAAAACAAGCGTAATCGTTTATGGGTGTCAGCGATGGTGACTCGATGTCTGACTAATACAAGATTCGAGCTTAAAGCTGATACTACTGTTGACACACGCTGACATCGAACAAAGAAAAGCGAAAAGAGAAAAATTCGATATCTAATTGTTGACGACGATCGGATCTTTTAATTCAAATTTAATCCAAATATAATCCGAGGCTTAACTTCCAGAGACAAAAGAAACGAAAAAAACAGGACACGGTGTATTTAAATTATTATTTAATCTGCACTCGTTTCGGAGCTCAACTCGAAAACAACCTCCAATTCCTCGAGATTTTAATTGAAACGCTGGACAGTTGTTAATTGGGAGTTTACAGTTTCAAATCTAATTAAAACGTAACTCACAATTGCTGGATAGCTTCAGAGATCCCTTGGCTTGGTAGAGATAGCTTGAACAATCAACGATTTGAAACTTAACCTTGACTCTAAATTTAATCTTAATCTTATTTCGAATTTGAGCTTGACATCCCCAAAACGAAACGGAGCATAACCTAACCTAAACCTAGATTCAGTCGAAACCAGCCCACTTTTAACTCGTTGCGACGATCAAGAGAGTAAAAACCAGTTGCTAAGAAAAATCTTTATGTCAAATTTCAACTCGACATCCGCAAAATGGAATCGAAATCTAACCTAAATCTGGATTCAATCGAGGCCCACTTTAACCCGTTGCCTCGATCAAGAGACTAAGAATCAGCTGCTAATAAAGGGTCGGAGAATTAATCTTTATTTCGAACTCGACATCTCCGAAACGAAACCTAACCTGAACCTAGATTCAGTCGAATCCAGCCCACTTTTAACTCGTTGCGACGATCAAGAGAGTAAAAAACAGTTGCTAACAAATGTCAGAGAATTTAATTTTTATTTCGAACTCGACATCTCCGAAACGAAACAAAACGAAACGAAACGAAACCTAACCTAACCTAAACCTAGATTCAGTCGATCCGCCACTTTTAACTCGTTGCCTCGATCAACGAGAGTAAAAAGAAACAGCTGGTAATAGAGGTCGGAGAACAGTAATGAATCGAAGGTGACAAGTAAGTACGCATGTAGTTGAGAACAAAGAAATGTTTCGAATAGCAATGCTAACTGGTACGTACAAAGACTCGAGAGGAGCGATTTACAAGAAAGGGGAGCCCTCGTTCGTTCGCTTTTGTTTTGTACGGGTTGACGAAGGAAATATATTTTTATTCTTGGAATGAACGTATGACCGCGACGTACACACACACACACACACACACACACACACACACACACACACACACACACACACACACACACACACACACACACANCGACGCACACACACACACACACACACACACACACACACACACACACACACACACACACACACACACACACACACACATATGTATACCTCGTGTGTGGCGTGTCGCGTCGGTTTCTTTTTTTCGGCCTCTTTCTTTCGCCTCGTTCTTTTTTAAGAGTTCACCACGTTATTTTCTCGTGTTTGCAGGAACCAAGCAAACGGCGGAAAGCGTAGCTCAAGATGCCGTTGACCAAACAGGTACATACATACATACATACGTATATGTAACATACGCGTATTTAATTTGAGGACGTTATAAAAAAGAGGAATGAATCAACCTAGATATAATTGAATTCTCATTCTTTAATTTTTCGTTTGCACGTGACAGTTTTATTTGAAGTAAACAATTCAAAAGTAAGTTTGACACCCTTGGTATGTATCATGTATTAATTTTCATCCCCCTTCAACTTAATCGCGTGATCAATAAACATCTTTTTTCTTTGCGTCAATTCGCAAGAAGATGTGTTTATTCGCTTTATTCGGCAGGCACCGCAGGAACAGACATCGTATCGATACTTATTGATTCTTGGTATCTTTCCACAGGATTTGGCAAGTTTAACCTTAAGGTTATGGCCGTCTGCAGTCTGATCTTCATGAACGTGGCATTCAGCATAACGAGCATTGGTTTTGTATTACCATCGGCGGCATGCGACTTTAAAATGACCACGGTGGACAAGGGACGCTTGAGCGCCGCCCCCATGTTAGGTAAACACTTTAACAAACGCTATTAATTTTATTAATTTGCACACGTGCAATGGCCGACGAATGGTGTGTCGGATTTGCATCTCGTTTAACCAGCGAGATACTTTTAATTATATTATTCGAAGCAGTACGACCGAAACGGCAAGGGTTCAAAGTACAAAGTTCAACGATACGTGTAGACGGATAGTATGTTGTATGGATAGTAAACTCTCGATCCTTATCTAAAATCTAAAATTTCAAAAATAAGATTTTTCGTTTCTTCTTTTTTTTATATTTTTGCTTCGTGCGACGAAAATGTTCGATCCGATCGGTGTCTTTTTAATTCTCGCAGAGCAGACGCGTGGAAAATGGCACGCGTTGCGTTTACTTCAACGTTTCTCGCGTGCCTTTACGAAACTCGTACACGCCCCCGTTCAATCAATCTCTACGCCGTGTTTCGCGAATAACAAGTTGCTTACATTAACTCGAACAGGACATCAAACCGCGTTCCTTTCTACACAAAGATTCTTGTGAAATTGCAGTTTGTTTTCCACTCGTTCGAGACCTTTTCACTTTCTTACTTTATACTTGTATACACTCTTGAGTCGTTCACACTTGAAATTAAATTTCAATCCACGATATCGTGCGTATGTACATACATAATGTAAGTATACTAATCTTCTTTCGCATTCGAAAAAAGAAGCGACTGATTTTTAATATCGACGAATCGAGTATTCATCGGCACGAGAACTACCAAAATGATTAGAATGACCGTTTGTTAGATATTTTATGTATATATAAAACTTGGTGTATTCTTGAATGATTGAATGATTTTTCGTAAACTACACAAGTAAAAGTTTATATATACCCTGTTGCATTATAAAGATTTTCTGTTTCTTCCCACTTCAACGTCTCTTTTATTTATAAATAAAATTTTATAATTCATTTATTCTTAAATACACTATATTCTTAAATATATTATATTTTGATTTATTGAAATATTTTCTCACAAAATTTTATTTGTATTAATTTCTCTTTTGTATAAATTTCAATAACAATACATAAATTAAATTTAAATTAAATCAAAATGAATAACAAGGTTCCCTAAAAAGATTCTGTAAAAAGACCGCCATATTATTTCATTTCAGTGATTCAACATTTAATAGTAGTAAAATATTTTATTAATATAACAGGGTATCTAATCCTAATTTATTATTTAATTTATTCAATATATTTATTTTAAATATATATAATTAAATATATATAATAAATATATTTAAATATATTATATATATAATATTTTAAATATATATGATTATTATTATTAATTAAAATTTCACTTAAAATTAATAAATTTTAGAGAATTTCTCTAGTAAAAATTTTATCCTTTAGTCGTCACTTTAATAATTCTAGTATTAAAAGTCAGATTTAAATTCCCGTCAAAATTCAAACGGTTCGTTATTGGTAACGTGGTCTTAAAATGAAAATTTTTATTTTTATTCGCAAATGGTCCAGTCTCGTTATCTGTTTCTTTCCTCTTTCCAACAAACAGTTAACGCATGGACACGGTAATTTTCCGTAAAGACAAATCAACGTGAGGTTAATTCATCGCGGTGTAGATGAACATTCGAAAGGGAAAACTCTTGTGCAAAAGTGTTTGTCGAGACAGCGATGATCTTTAACTGGAATGCAAGCGTAAATTATTAAATGAACGGCGATGCACTAAAACCAGGAACGTATCGTTACGTTGTCCATACACGTTGTTCCTACATTTTCGAAAAACATCGATCGAAATTTTAAGTATGTACGAAATTTTAAATATGCTGATTTACTAGATAATATTCATCGCGTGCCTCGATAGTTATAAATAGTAATAGTCGAGATAATTACAAATTACTTCGGCAAATGCGAATTTCACATTTTTTTTATTCATACTAAATTGTACAATAACAGTACACAAATTTAAATTAAATCAAAATGAACAACAAATTTCTCTAAAAAGATTCTGTAAAAAAGACCGCCATATTATTTCAATTCAATGATTCAACATTTAATAGTAATAAAATATTTTATTAATATAACAGGATATCTAATCCTAATTTATCATTTAATTTATTCAATATATTCTTTTATTTTAAACATATATAATTATCCCCTTGGAATTTAATATTCTTCCTTAATAATTTATGACATGATCCAATTGAAAAGAATAAGGATGATGTTGGGAATTTCGAAACCGACAAAAAAAAAAAACATTGATGAACGAATATATTCTGTCTCCCTCGAAACCAATTTTTTATTAGGCGCGTAAAATGAAACTTGTTTCAGGTGTGCATCGCGTTACGCGAATCACCCTGTATATTAGATAATGTAACGCATATAAATGTCACATTGTTGGACCTTGTGGCGAATTGATTTACTCGTTGCTCGCGTGAAGAACTGAAAAATTAATTAATTAGTTAAACGTGCCTCTGGCGTAAAAAGCAGCCAGTGTGTTCGCGAAAGACGCAAGATCAGAAGAAATTGAGTACTGCAATCGAGTACGAATAATTAAATCTCAAAAGGTCAAATCTCGATGCAACAGCGTGACTGTTTATCGTCTTGTGACATTTCCACGCACCAGCCATGTATTCATTATATACATTTACTTATTTAGTTAATTGTTAACTGCTGTACAATATTGTAGATATTACTACACTTGTGACAGATACAATGGAGCCAAGTTCGTACGAACGCTGGTACGAACGGTAAACATGCACGAGTTTGCATAATTTGCATAATTCGCGTTCGTGTTGTAGTTATTCTGTCCTCTACTATTGATTACACGTTTGTGTAACAGAGGTCGAGGTTCAACCAGCAAGAGTTCCTTTTGACTATTGAATATTTTATCACAATATTAGTTCAAATAAACGGTAAATTTGTTGTATTCGCTAGAAGAAACTAGATGCCTGCACGCGTGTAATAGAAACTATCGATTGTGATTATACTGCGAATTTTCATGCGTTTACGGAAGAGTCGAAGCAGCAAAAATGCGCCGATCGTGCAAAAATGTATGAAACATATCCAAAAGAGAGTATTAATTATGATTCTAGATTCCTAGAGTTCGTTAATCGTGTTTGGTGACAATTTTGAAAATGCGTAGAAATCATAGGTGCATTCTAGTTTGTGATAAATTACCGAGACAATCATGTGCAAAGATACATCGGATACCTTTACTACAAATAAAATTAAAATATTTAAGAAAACGAAGAGTAACTTAAAATTTTAATATTAATTAATTAATAAGAAATATTATTTTTGAATTTGCAATTTAACGTTTTTTTATAAACTATAATTGAAATTATTTGTAAAATTAAATATAATGAATAAAAATATAAATATATTTATAAATAAAAAATAAATAAATTTATTTTTTTATTAATCTTAAAGTAAATATAATTATTATTGTTTATATATATAAATTTTTTTTAAAATAATTAAATATTTTCATATTAATAATAATCTTGATAATAAACATAATAAATATAAAATAAATTTATTAAATTTAATTATTTCATATAAAAAATTTCATTTTAATATAAATCTAAATATTAATGGTAATTAATAGAATAAATTGAAATTCATACTTTAAATATATAATTTATGAATTTAAAATTAAAAATAATATATAATTTTCTAAAATTTAATTTTATTAATAAATTAATAATAAAATATAAAATAATTGAATACAGGTACTTGATCTACAGTTGTAATAATGAACGATTACGAAAAACAAAGAGAGACGAGTCATTGGATACTCTTGTATTTGCCTTTTTCTTCTTTTTTTTTTGGTGTTGTCGATGATTAATCCTTTCGCTAGCCTCTTTTACCAATTCAATGATATTCAAATGCAGGCATTTGCCATAATACGTAGTAATTGTTTTACAGCGTAATAATCATCAATCTGTGAAATTGTGAATTTATAGGTATGCTAGCTGGTTCGTACATATGGGGTTGTTACGCGGCCATCAAAGGGCGAAGACTGTCGCTGCTGGTCGCGCTGTTTCTACACGGGATCTCCGAGTTGTTGGCGTCGGTGGTGCCGCTCTATTGGGTCTTTCTGTTTTTGAAATTTCTGAGCGGCGCAGCGTCAGTATCATCATAATACACTTTTATATGTACAGGGTGTTCCCCTCAGTTAAATTGCCAAACTTTAGATATCAATTGAGGATCGTAAAATTTTTCCTTTGGAAGTATGATATTTACTACTAAAGTTATATTATATATAGGACTTGATAACGTATGCCGTCCAAATAATTCAGGTTCATTACGTATATTACTAAAGAAATTAAATTACTTGTTGTATTTATTACTAAAGATAATTGCAATTGTTACATATGTTGCTCAAAATGATTATCTTCAGCTTGGAGAGAGACAAGCATTAATCTCGGAAACGCAGACATTTCAATGTTATCCATTTATCGAACTCTTAATAACTTTAGAAGTAAATATCTGTTGAACGAAGCATTTGCGAGCATACTTCCACAGGGAAAATTTGTTCGTTTTCGTAGGGTCCTAAATTTATTAGATTATCTAATGTTTGGCGATTTAACCCGGAAACACTCTATATGTACAAGTAGAATCTCCCTTGTACAGTCATTCTGGTGGGCCAAAAATCACTTCCTACTAAAATAAATCCGTAATTTTTTTATTATATATATATTTATTTATTTATTTATTAAATAATTTTTTCTCGTACGTATCTTGATATTTTATTAAAAAAAATATATATATTTGGGAAAAAACTTTTGGCCCACTCTGTACAAGTAGAATAATTTGCAAAGCGGCCATTAAATAGCAAATTGAACAGTTTGATCGTGAACATCTTTTCTTTTGTAATAGTTCCGTAAACTTTGTGCTGATTCTGAAATTACTGAAATTCAATATCGTTCGTAATCCAGAGATTGAAAACTCTATGATTTGAGAATGCTCTTTAATAATTTTATATCGTTTCTATTGTAGTATGAATGGACAGTCGGCCGTTGTCTTCCTATATCTGGGCGAGTTCCAACCGACCAAATATCGGGATAAGATGCTCTCGTGGATGGAAATGGCTTGGGTTGTAGGGATGATCATTTTGGCAGGTAATTGAGATTCGTCAAGTGTACATTGCGTCGTGTTAAGGGGATATTTTAGTGTGAACTTCTAAAAAAAAATCACGATTTTTTTTTTTTTTAAATTCTTAAAGGACAAGGTTTGAAAGTATGCAGTGCCACTAATTTTAACTTTTTCTGTCCCAAAAAATTTCAAAACGTCGTTGAAACACGTACAAATAAACCTTGTCAATTTGACTGCAAAAGGTGTAATAGCTTCTTTGCAAAAAATTCCCCAACAAAGTTAAAAAAAACACGCACTTCGCACTGGAATACCCCCTTGAATTACATCGAATTAAATTAAATTAAATTGAATAAGATATCAGCAACGAACAAAATTATTCGGTGAAACGTTTAGAAACGTAAGTTTTCACACAGCCATAGCAAGTTATAGGTATAAAAATTCCAAAATGTAACGTTTTTCACTTTTCACTGGCATCGTTAAAAATCCTGTCGATGTTTTCCTCGTTCGTTTCATTCGCTTCACTCGGGGCAAATTGTCGATGAAAATATTTCACCCTGCTTGGAAATTTCAGGTGTCGGTTGGATCGTCATTCCCCTGGAAGTGAGCATCGAGAAGGACGATTTTTTCTTCCACTCGTGGAACCTTTTCGTGTTCATATGCTCCCTTCCAGCCTTGTTGACCGGAGCGTGGCTGTTGTTTTTCCCGGAGACGCCGAAATACCTCGCGGAAAGCGGCAACAACGTCCAGATGTTGGACGTTTTGATGAGAATGTACTCGGAGAACAGTGGCGAACCGCCGAAAGAATATATAGTAAGTCCATACCATCATATACATACGTCTGTTCGCCATTTTCCACGAGGAAATCGTGATTTCTTCCCGGCATTAAAATTAAAAGCTAACAAGGAGATGTCACAGCTGTTGAGTTGTCGATTTTAATGAAATTTGATCTGTCAATTCCAAAGCAAATATAATTTGACTGTGTCCGAGCATTTCGGTCAATACTCATTGTTTACAGAGATATTTAATGTTTCAATCTTCTACAGATATACTCTAGAGATGTAACTCTTTTCTTAATCTGCAAGCAGTAGCGTAGCAGCGAAACTGATAGCGTAGTGGATTCATATCCGGAGGTGACGTCAAATCTTTCTAGGGAAGAATATTATTGTATCATCTCTATTTTTGTTTCCTTTTTTTTTCTTTCAAGTTTTCTTGTCTTTTTATGTAGAATACTGTGTTTTACATTTTTATAGTATCCCTAATTATTAATTTATTTAAAATGTCACAGAAAATTTCAATATAAAATACAACGTCGAACGTTACAATTTTTAATAACTAATATTTTGCAAAAGAACATTATAATGTCTAGGATGATAAGCGTCGTAAAAGCATGAAAAGCATAAACTATATCTAGCAGTATGAATATTTTATAAATGCCACATTATTGCACCAATACTTTGCGTTTCTTACATCGTCTGGAAAGCACACTTGGTTTACATTGAAAAATATGGATTTATGAGATATTAATTTTGTTGCGTACCAAAAATATTTAACCATTGCATTGAAAACTGATGCAGATAATTGATTATGAATCAATGAATGAATTTTGATAGCGTCTTCCCTACGTTCGAAAGTTTATGATTATTTTGTAAAATTTCCATAGCATTCTATAATAGGGACATTATAAAATTGTAATAATGGCGATATAACTAGGGACATTATAAAAATATAAAACGCAGTATTCTACATAAAAAAAAAAAAAAAAAAAAAAAAAAAAAAAAAAAAAAAAAAAAGAAAAAAAGAGAAACGAAGGACGACAATGGCGACCGAATGCCGCGCACTGGCGGTACCCAATGAACCCTAGGCATCCGACAGTTTCATCAATGCCTGTACACAGAGTCGGTCTGATCTCCCAGCCGGAACTTTCATTCTTCCATCGATCAGAGAAATCGTAGCCCCCCCCCCCTCTCCTCCCCCTGCCGATTCGCGATTACACGTATCCACTGCCCCGTTGACGTGTCACCCATCGTCGGTTCTATCGTAGTAGTTGTTGCGTCACGCGATTGCCACAGCAAAAGAGACGCACGCTACGAAAAAGAAAACGACCAGAGAGCCACCGAGGGAAACGGCCGAAACTCGGCGAGTGAAAGATGAGAAAAGAAAAATATGTTGGCGGAGTGAGGAGGGCGGGTGGGCGCAGAAAGGAGTTAGAAGATCGAGCGCGTGATCGGTAGCGGCGCTTTCTAAACCGAGCGTAAATCTCCCATCGGTAAATCATGGAGCGATTACGCGGCGCAGCCCCGAGGCTGGGACGAGTCCCGTGACTCTCCAAGTACGAGGCTCACTCCTGTGACTGGCTGCGTGCCTCAGACGATTCGTTCCGGTTCGCGGACCAACCCGTCAACAGTTGAAGTTCCTTTCTCCGGAAAATCCGGTCGCCGGGCAATTGCTGGCCGGGTCGTCGCGCAAGAAGCAACGAAAGAAAGGGAAGGTGGAATGGTCAACGTTGCGGACCAAGTCCAACATTTTCATACAAATTCCAGACGAGTTTCGTTTTGAATACTACTTGAAAGTGAAAATGTTTTTGTGAATATATATAATGTATATTATATATATAATATTTTATATATTTTATATATATTATAATATTTTCATATATTTTATATATATTATAATATTTTTATATATATTATATAAATAATATTTTATATATTTTTTATATATATTTTATAAATATTATAATATTTTTATATATTTTATATATTTTATACATAATATATTATATATCTAGAGTAAATATATTTTATGTATATAGGTTATATGTATATTTTATACAATATATATACATATAGAATATGTATAATATATTTTATATATATATATATCTAGATTATATATATTTATTTATATATTTTTTATATAATATATATATATACATATAGAATATTTATAATATATTTTATATATAGATTATATATACATTTAATTATCGAAACTATTTAAGCTATGAAAATTAACTTGGATTCGAGTATAATTAAATGTACCATAATTGCTCGTAAATAATTCGAATCCAACGATTAAAAATTCAAAAATACTCGACCGCATCTTTTGCCGTGAACGAAACGAGAATCGTAGGGTAGCAGCCGGAACGCGAGTGAAACATAGAGGCGTTGATAGTTGGGTTACCTTGGCATGAGAAACCTTCACCTCCGTTGCTCGCCATTCCGGACGTGCCCAAATGAATTCGTTCCGAATGCAATTCGCAATTTGTCGTTAACGCTCGCGAGCTGCGAGACAAATGCTTCTACACTGTTGCGTTGTAAATGCTCATCGCGGTGTAATTAAGTTCGAGCCTCGTGCAACGGGCCGCGCGTCCGCTGAATAAGAATGCTGTGTACCCGATTTGGCTGAATAAACTGTCACGTACAGGCTGTCGCCGATCGATCGTCGGCCTTGCGACCCAACAACGTTCCGGCCGCGCCGTTGTTTACGATTAATTGAATCGATTTTGCCCGGTATAACGGGCAAACATCATAGATCCGGGTGTGAAGATCGCAAAGATTGCATTGCAAGTTGACATATCAATTATGCGCTGCATTTAGAATTTACGTTCTACGTTTATTGTAAATTAAAAGTACTTGCGTTTCATACAAATAACGCTGTAAAACGCTGTTATTGAAATAATGGACGTGCGTGTATATAAATGCTTTCACTGATGAGAATAGTTTACGTTCCCGTGAAACTAAATTGAATTGCAATTTTCAAATAAATTAAATCGTAAATTAGTAGACAAGTATAAACATGAATGAAAAAGTGGAAGAAGTAATAATTAAAATCTTTCTACTCTTGACAATCATATAGATTGAAATATTTATAATGATTGAAATTGATTAGTAGAAATGAGAAATATAAATTACCATTGTATATACATCTTCCTATCGCTTTGAACGAAAAAGTAATTAGAAATAAGATCGTACACAACGGCAAACTAACAAGTTGTTCTGCGATTGGTGTTAAATGAAATTTACTTGTCGCCGGGGAGCGGAAAATTGTAAAAGGATAGAGTGAAAATAGACGAACAGAAAAATAGCAAAGAGAAAACGGCGAGTAGTTATCTCGGCACGAGGAACCTTTACTTCCATTCACACTATTGCGGATGTGTCCAAACAAATTCGTTCCGTATACAATTTGCGATTTGTCGCAAGGTGTACGTAAAGTGAGACAAACGGCGTTTTATATCTTAGAACCATGCTAAATAATTAAATTTCAATCTTTTTGAATAAATGGATAATTCAATTGCCGTCTAAATACAGTTAAGTATATATTTACGTATATTTCCAAATGTACCAAATTCCGTCTATTTCCGTCTATTTTCCAATAGACGAAATTTAAAATGGCAAAAAGTTTTTATTACAAAAATTAATTCTATTAAATTAAATAAAAAAATTAAATTAAATTAAATTCTATTTGTTACAAATTACAGTGAAGTATTTAAAATATTTAACAATACGTAAATAATGTTTTTTTAATTTAAAAATAATAAAAGCACCAAGTGAATATTGAGTATTGTTACTATAGTAATAAATTGTATATTTTAAGTTTATAAATAGTTGCAATTAACCGCGAGAAATGACGAAATATATTTTGTTCTACGGGAAATTGAATTCTATAGACATTTAATTGATTATATACACCGCATTAACTTTATGAACATCACGAGAGATTTTGATGAAACTGTACGATATTCACACAATTATCTTTGCATTAATTACATTATTATTACGAATTATTATATCATGAAGTGTAATATTGTATTTTGCAATTAATGCTGGATGGATCATTTAATTAAGAAATTTAAAGATTCTGTTTATGCAAGGTACTAAAATATCCTTTACTCGGTTACGTTTGTTTATCCATTTGCAAAAGAACTGTATATTTTAAATATTTCTAATTTTCTTCCTAGATTGTTAGCAATTTTTTCAATTATTAATTAATAAATGATTCATATATGGATTATTTATAACGTATTAAATGAACGTGTTGAGTTTAAGCGTAACAATACATTCAATAAATTAAATATTTAAGTATTCACTATCTTCATATTTTATTCTTGAAGTTTCTTTAAATATTTATTTCAATTACAATTATTATGTATACATGATTCATATAGAGATCGTTTATAATCCATTAGAGAATAAATTTTGAAATGTTTTTAATTAAAATTTTATTCTAGATAATATTTAATATTTAATATTATTAAATTATATGTAAAATAAAATTAAAGTGAAAGCTCGTAAAACTTTAGTTACCTTCTGTTCCAATAATTTTATCAAATTTTTAAGGAATTTTAAATAGTTAAATAACTAGAATAACAGAGAAAAAGATCTCAACGAAAGATACTAATTTCTTGCAACCAAGGCGACATAATAATGTGATAATTTACACTGTGAGACGTAAGATTGCATAAAACGTAGAAAGATAGTTGACTCTTCATATTATCAAATGCTTCTTGTATACGTAGTTATGCTAAATATTTGAAGTGAAAGTAGGATGAACGAAGAGATTCCTGTTCTCTGAAGTCCTGAAAGTTTGAAAGAGTTCTTTTCACGTAAAATCATTTTGACGCTCTATTTTGTTAGATGAAATTAATTATTCGTATCATGATATAAAATATTATTGTACATTATATAGATACATTATTTCTTTATGTGCATGTTCTTAAAAAATAAAAAAAAAGTACCTATATTTTAGTAAATACAATAACCTATATTATAAATACTACATATTTGAAATGTTTAAAATATATTTTATAGCGTCACGTCTTCAAGGCATATTAGTAAGTTACACAATTATTTTACATATCTATATTTTATCACGTTTATATATCTATATTTTATCACATTTTAAACAAGATTAAAAAATGAACGTTGACGAGCTGCATGTATCTCGCTGCA